GGGGTCACCACAAACGTTATGTCCTCCTCATGTTTGCCCAGGGAGAGGTGTATTGGTAAAGTGGCTAGGGTAGCTGGCACCCCCCCTGCTATGGACCCATCTAACTGGCCAAATGAGATTGGTTGTTCCAGTCTCCTTGACGGAATGCCCAGATTCCCCACTAGCGTCGGGCTAATGAGGCAGCGGGTGCAGCCAGAGTTTATTAATGCTCTCACCCTCATGGCTTCGGACATGGGGGGGATGAATATACTCACTGTCTTGAGGATGGGTGCGATGCATCCACTTACCAGGGGTTCGCCCTCCGAGCTGTCATCTGAGGCGTCCACCAGCCCTACAGTGTAGGCTGGGGTTCTTTCCCCCTGCTGAGCAGAGGTGGGGGATTCCTCAGCTTCCATCATTCTCATGGCAGGTTCTTTTGGCTTAGCTGGAGGCTTTCCGGAGTTACTGGCCGGTGATCTGTCTGGGTTGTGTTGGGTGGCTCTTGAGCGGCATTCTACAGCTCGGTGCCCTTCTTTCCTGCACTTGAAACACCCCGGTTGCTTCTTGGCCGTGGCCAATGGTTTCACTGGTTCGCGTGTAAGCTCAGGCGGTGAGCAGCTCCATTTTTTTCTTGGCGGTGCCTCTTCAATATGTCGATCTCTGCTTCCTCTGCCAAGACGTACCATTCCTCAAGTTGGTGTGGGTCCCCTCGGGGCAGGCAAGCATCATATAGGTCATAATTTAGTCCGTCTTTGAAATGGCTAAGGAGGATGTCTTCTGGCCAGTTCAGTTTGCTGGCAATGGCCCGGAATTCTTGCGTATATTTGGCTACTGGTCGTTTGCCTTGCCTCATCGTTTTTATCCTTTCGTGGGCTTTGCGATCAGCCAGGGGGTCCTCAAATCGTCTTCTCAGAGAGGACATAAAACGGTTGAAGTCGTTGAGCTCTGGGGCATTGGAGTCGTGCAAGTTCACCACCCAATCTGCGGCCGGCCCGTCCAGGGCAGCTTGCACGATCCAGATATGGGCTTTGTCGCTGGGGATGTCCTGCCCGTATTCCTCCATGTAGCTGAGGACTTGGGTTAGGAAAAACCCCAAGCGTGTTGGCTCCCCTTTGAATTTCACCTCCAGCGGCGGACATCTTTGAATGGATCGGTGCCTTCATTCTCGGTGGTAGTCTCTTCCATTTAGATTGCCATCTGTGGTTCGGCGGGGGGTGGGGACTACTGGATCAGCAGATGTCTCCGGAACTGCAGGTTCCCCTTCCCCTTCGGTGTCTCTCCTTTTGCAGCTCCAGGAGCTGGGGCGGGCGTAGGGCTCAGGATTCTCCTCTCCTAGGGAGCTTAGAGTTCTCTTCATTAGGTCAATTGCTTTCTCTAGGATCCAGCCCGAGTACAGTGCCCAGCTCTCTTCCTCTTCACTTGCATGCAGGGATTTCTCCATCTCCTGCTTCCATTCTGGTTGTTCGGCCCCCGGTCTCAGGGTCACCTTTCTTGATTTCTTTTCCCACTCGCCTTTCTTTCCAACGTTCATTGACCACCGAGGTTTGTGGTCCCGCGTCTCCACCACCTCTTCTCCTGAGGACTCTGACCTCTCATATCCCGACATCTGGCAGGGTTTCAGCCGGGGCAGCGGCTCCCTTTCCGGGGAGTTTTCTCCCTTCCTTGCTCCACCGTCTGACATGGTAAATTTTGCAAAGTCCCCCGGCAAGGGTCTTCCTTCCAGGTGGACTAATTTTGCAAGTCCTGTCTAATGTAAGGACCCACCCCACTTTGCATCTTAAGAAGACAGAACTCTTGGAATATTTCTTCCAACAGGCATCTTTATTAAGAGAAAACTGGTTGCAGGCATTCTAGACAGGACTTGGGGTCCAAGCTCTCCCATTCAAGGTTTTAAGGGATCCCCCAGTAGCCCCACCCCATTACCCCCTTCTTCCAGCGACAGTTCCAGGCATTACATTCCCACCCCCTTTTCCTCACTGCCTGAAGGAGAGACTTCAGAAAGGATTACATGAAAGTTAATGGCCCCAATTGTTATTGTTAGTCCTTTTGGTGGTATCCACATCCAGTCCCTTTGAAGTATACTGAAGGAAGTGAGGGCCATAAAGCCCCTTTTTTCACCCCCTTCCCTTCATTGTATGACAGAATCCAGAGAAGGCAGAAATGGGGTTTTCCATAGTTGATAACTAGAGATGAAATATAATTGGATTCTGACAGTTAATTTGATAGAGAAAGCATTATTTCCAATATTTGGGAATGCTGTTAAAAACTCCTTAAAAGAGCTGCATCTTCTCCCAGGATTACAGGGCTGTTTTTGATCATCATATTTTCTTTAAGTCTGTATTAAAGAATCTTGAGTCTTTCTCCATTAGTCTCTAAGTTGAAGCCCCTCTGAGTCTTGGCAGCCCTTTAAAGCATCATATCCCTTTTTGTTTCTCTTCTCAGCAGTAGTTGCATCCAGTGAGCAGCATCAGATCCCTATAATTGCTGTATGTGTTACTGTGGGAGTGATTCTTTTGGCTGTTGTAATTGGTTTCCTTCTCAGCGGAAGGTAAGGGAAAAAAAACAATATTCTTTGTACCTTTCTTCTCTGTCCCTCCAGCTTTTAACTAGCCAAACACTTTAGAACATGATTCCTGGCCAGCCAGATCTATGACAATGTAATGTTCAACACACTCCAATCAGCATCTAAAAAGCCACATACAAATACCACACACAGAACAGCACACACGCTGCTAGAGAGAAGTTCCCTGAAATTTGGCTCCAGCCTGAATCCAAAAGCAGACAAAACCTGTGGTCATGGTGACCAACCCAGATTGGGTCCTGAAATGTAATGTTTAATGAAACCATTGATTTAGTGAGGAAATACTTTCATCACTACTCTAACATGCTAATCTCCACAGCGCTCTTCTTATTAATTTTAAGGGATCTTTCCATGTGTTTCATTTCATGGCTACCATTACTGCTCTATTTATTAAAGTAATAATGGCATATTTCTGTATTATAGTGTGTATACATGTATGTAAGTATGCATATATGTATATATATCTTTTTTTTATTTTAATTTTTCCATGACAGGCGGTGTGGCTATAGCAAAGCTAAACAAGATCCTGAAGAAGAAAAAATGCACTTTCATAATGGCCACAGTAAGTAAAAATCATTGGAAACAATTCTGCAAAAGCGTTTTGGTTTTTTTTGTTGCCGGTCTTTACAGTGCACAGTGTACAGTTTAATATTTATGTGACTCAATTTATGGAGATGGCAGAAGAATACATATCCTGAGCATCCAGTATATAATAAATCTCTGCTTCACACACTCCAGTATAGGAATGGAGAAAGAAACAAGCATCATATCCCCACTCTGCAGAACTCCTCATTTGTTTCATTTGTTGGTTTTTTTCTGTTTTGTTTTGTCTTTCTGAAATGGGTACAAAAGCTACTGAAAAATGCTAAAAATTTGTCCCTTTACCTAATTACCAGCACCATAAAGAAATAAGTAGTCTTATTTCTATTACAGATATACTGCAAATAACTCTTAATTCCAATTTACAGCTTAATTTCTAATTTATAACTTAATTACAATTTAAGTTATTACTGAAATATATATTTGAAATATATTCAGTAATATATTACAGGTTTTTTTAGTGTATGGAAGACTAATAACCAAATTTCTGAAGCAAGAAGTACAGTAGGGTACATCTTCAAAGTCATAGTTCCCTCTATAAATAAAAAAAAGGAGAAAAGGGAGAAAAATGCTCCTTTTAAGTGTAGCCTGATGCCTGCAGTTTTTATGAAAAACATTCCCTACTAAAATAGAACTGCCTAATTAATTGTAATATGTTTCAATCATCTAATTCTCTTTAAAACTCAACTGATCTAAATTATTGGTTAATTTTTTGGGACCATCTTGTTTACCTTACCATAATCACAGGGTGATTATGTTTTTTAAAGTTGCTGCTTCATTTTAATTTATTTGCATACTGTAAAGAGATGTGTAATAAGTAATTTTATACACAGTTAAACTACCAGGAGTAAAGACCTATATTGATCCACATACCTATGAAGACCCTAATCAAGCTGTCCATGAATTTGCCAAAGAAATAGAAGTGTCATACATATCAATTGAAAGAGTTATTGGAGCTGGTAAGAAAATCCAAATGCTTATCTCTCTTTTGCATGTATTAGGATGATGGTTGGAATGCATTAATAAATATTCAATGCAAATGGATTTCCAATAAATGAACTGAAAATAAATTATATTTTAGATCCTGTCACTGATAAAATTATTATTTATAAAAGCAAAACTAAGCTTTCTGTAGATAAAATGATTCACTACAGAGCCTTATGAATGGTGATTAATCAATATTAATTTAACATAAAATAAAAATGTGATCATCTATCAGGAGCAATATAGTTCATAAACAGAAATCTGGTTCAAGTCTTCATTTAATGGCAAAGCTCCTTGGATAACTTGGATTGTCTCCCAGAGCTCAGTCTCTTTCGAAAAGAATTATGGTTGACTTGGAACAAAAATGCAGTTAGTCAATGAATAATGTTGTATCTGACCTTCTTTTGAAAAAAACTTGAAATATTAATAAAAATTTAATATTTATGTGCAAAAGTCATCAGGCATTATCAGATTTTAGTTTTTAATTCTTTTAATTAAGGGATGATTTTTTTTAATAGGTGAATTTGGTGAAGTATGCAGTGGGCGCTTGAAACTTCCTGGGAAATGTGAGTTGCCGGTGGCCATTAAAACCCTGAAAGTGGGCTACACTGAGAAACAAAGACGGGATTTCTTGGGAGAAGCAAGCATAATGGGGCAATTTGATCATGCCAACATAATACACCTGGAAGGCGTGGTAACAAAGAGTATGTACGAAATGCTAATGAATGTTTTATTATCATTGCTTATACAAACTATAAACAGCAATATCTTGATGGCATTAAATTCCAATAATGTTAATACATCTAACTGTAATATCTATAATGGACAAGTTAGTAAGCCATTGAATCATCCATTTTATCTTCTCAAGCGTTATTCATATTGTATTGCTTCAAAACCAGAGTAGTCAAACATACTTGGAAGTCAGAATAAAATATTGGTTTCTTATGCAAAGATTAATCCATGCATATATTTCTCCCTCCTTTATTTTCAGGTTAGGATCTGACCAGGGAGTGGTTCTTGGTTCTCCCCCCCCCCAAATAGCAGCATCCTTCTCTGTTCTTAAACAGAAAGCTTAGGATGGAAAGAAATAAGAAGTCTTAAGAAATATAATATTGTCTCTAAAATAGCATATAATAATATGTTTTTCTTAGCATATTGTATAACTTCCCTTAGATTCTCATACATTGTACTGAATATTTTCCTTAATCTTATATCCAATGATGTCATGCAACAGCAGGGGTACATGCTATATCAGGTTACAATGTTGGCCTTAGAAATATGAGCTTCAACACAATGTTCTTAGTAATCAGTTAAATAAAAGTCTTTTTCATTTCTAGAAAATCTGAATTTTAATAGGAAAGCAGGTAGAAATGGCAGACTTTTTGAATTTGTGACCTTGACTTCATAATAAGTGAATTAAACAAGCTAATAAATACTTGGCTGTTGCTGCTAAAAGCAACATTGATTTTGAACCTCCCATTCCTAACAGCATGTAATTCAACTGAATCCCTTCTAAGATAGTTGTGAAAATAAAATGGGTAAGAAAGGGGGGGCATTTTATTGAGATTTTATTTTTGAAAGACAGACAAAATATACATATGATTAATGGATAGCTTCTTTAGAATAAATAATGAAAGTTAATGTTAAGAAGTCTGTATAGATAGTGTTTGACTTAAAACAGTTCGTTTAGTGACCATTCAAAGTTATGGCACTGGAAAAAAGTGACTTATGACTATTTTTCACACTTACAACAATTGCAGCATCTCCATGGTCACATGATCAGAGTTCAGACTCTTATCAACCGACTTATATTTGTAATGATTGCAATGTCGCAGGGTCATGTGATCCCTTCTGACAAACAAAATCAATGCAGAAGTCAGGTTCACTTAACAATCATGTTACTAACTTAACAACTTCAGTGATTGACTTAACAATTGTTGCAAGAAAGGTCATAAGATGAGACAAAACCCATTTAACAACTGTCTCACTTAGAAATAGAAATTTTGGACTACATTATAGTCATAAGTCAAGAACTACCTATATGTGTTCTAGCAGAATTTCACTTATTTTTTTAGATCAATTATTCTTGCCAAACCAGAGAACAGTTACATATAATAACTGGAGACAATTATCATTAGAGTTGCAAAAGATTAACCAGATAAGATTAGAAAAAGATAATTGTTCTTGTTAGCAATGAGCTCAGTGTTGATTCCAAAGGATTCCTTTGCAAAGATAGTCATATTATTTCCTAGGACAGTGGTGGCGAACCTATGGCACAGGTGCCAGAGGCGGCACTCAGAGCCCTCTCTGTGGGCACGCGTGCCGTCGCCCCAGTCCTAGGCCTTCAGCTGGGTTTTATAAAACCTTTTCGCTTTAGGTCTCCGCCGCTGTGTACAAAAAAAAAAAAGGTTCAATCAATCAGTCAATTTCAACTTCTCGGGGGAAAAAAAAAGATCTTGCAAAGTTGGAATTGATTGATTGAACTTTTTAGTCCCACCCAGTCTGCCATTACCACCACAGCCACGCCAACCCAATGGGCCACACCCACCCAATGGGCCACACCCACCCAATGGGCCACACCTACCCGGCACCCGACGATGCATAAGTGGGTTTTAGGTTGCAGTTTGGGCACTCAGTCTCTAAAAGGTTCGCCATCACTGTCCTAGGACAGGGGTAGGCAACCCAAAACACTGAAAGAGCCACTTGGACACGTTTCCCACCGAAAACAAAACAGTGGGAGCTGCAAAACCCTTTTGATATCTAAAATGAAGATAACACTGCATATATCCTTTTTTTACCTTTATTATAGGTATGTGTGTGTGTGTGTGTGTATGTTTGTGTGTGTATATATAAAATAAAGGTAAAAAAGGATATATGCAGTGTTATCTTCATTTTAGATGTCAAAAGGGTCTCTCTTTCCTCTCTCTCTCTCTCTTTCTCTTCTCTTTCTCTTTCCTCTTTCTCTCTTTCCTCTAACTTTCTCTCTCTCTTTCCTCTCTTTTTGTCTCTCTCTTTCCTCTTTCCTCTTTCTCTTTCCTTTCTCTCTTTCCTCTTTCTTTCTAAAACACTGGGAGCCGCAAAACCCTTTTGATATCTAAAATGAAGATAACACTGTATGTATCCTTTTTTACCTTTATTATAGGTATGTGTGTGTGTGTATGTTTGTGTGTGTATATTTAAAATAAAGGTAAAAATGCAGTGTTATCTTCATTTTAGATGTCAAAAGGGTCTCTCTTTCCTCTCTCTCTCTTTCTCTTCTCTTTCTCTCTTTCCTCTAACTTTCTCTCTCTTTCTGTCTCTCTCTTTCTCTTTCCTTTCTCTCTTTCTCTTTCCTCTAACTTTCTCTCTTTCCTCTCTTTCTCCTTTCTTTCCTCTTTTCTTCTCTTTCTCTTTCCTCTTTCCTCTCTTTCTTTCCTTTCTCTTTCCTCTCTCTTTCCTTTATTTCCTTTTTCTCTTCTCTTTCCTCTTTCTTTCCTCTCTCTTTTCTCAATCTTTTTTCTTTCCTCTTTTTCTCTCTTTCCTCTCCCCCTCGCTTTCTTTCTCTTTCCTTTCTCTTTCCTTTCTCTCCCCCTTTCCTCTTTTTCTCTTTCCTCTCTTTTCTTTCTTTCCTCTTTCTCTTTCTTTCCTCTCCCTTTCCTCTCTTTCTCTTTCCTTTCTCTCTTTCCTCTCTTTCTCTTTCCTTTCTCTCTCTCTCAATCTTTTTTCTCTTTTCTCTTTTTCTCTCTTTCCTCTCCCTCTTGCTTTCTTTCTCTTTCTTTTCTCTCCCTTTCCTCTCCCTTTCTCTCTCTTTCCTCTTTTTCTTTCTTTCCTCTTTCTCTTTCCTCTCTCTTTCTCTTTCCCTCTCTCTTTCCTCTCTTCTCTTTCTCTTTCCTCTCTCTTTCTTTCTCTTCCTTTCCTCTCTTTCCTCTAACTTTCTCTCTCTTTCCTCTCTTTCTGTCTCTCTTTCCTCTTTCTCTCTTTCCTATTTCTCTCTTTCTCTCTCTTTCCTCTGTCTCTTTCCTCTCTCTTTCTCTCCTCTTTCTTCTCTCTCTTTCCTCAATCTTTTTTCTCTTTCCTCTTTTTCTCTTTCCTCTCCCCCTCTCTTTCTTTCCCTCTTTCCTCTCTTTTTCTCTTTCCTCTCCCCCTCTTTCTCTCTCTCCTCTCCCTCTTTCTCTCCTTTTCTTTCTCTTTCCTCTCCCCCTCTCTTTCCCGCTCCCCCTCTTTCTCTTTCCTCTCCCTCTCCCTTTCTTTCTTTCTCTTGCCTCTCCCCCTCTCTTTCCCTCTTTCCTCTCTTTTTCTCTTTCCTCTCCCCCTTTCTCTTTCCTCTCCCTCTTTCTCTCCCTTTCTTTCTCTTTCCTCTCTCCTCTTTCTCTCTCTCTTTCCTCTCTCTCTTCTCTCTTTCTCTTTCCTCTTTCTCAATTTCCTCTTTCTTTTCTCTCTTTCCTCTAACTTTCTCTCCCTCTCCTCTCTCTTTCTCTGTCTTTCTTTCGTCTTTCTCTTTCCTCTTTCTCGGGTGGGGAGGGGGAGCAGGACGGGAGGAAGCGGTGGCGGTGCTGGCAGCCATTGCTGCATCGTCAGGGTTCCCCGCTGCCGCCCCCGGCCCGGCCGCCGCCCCCACCGCGTCCTCAGCCAAACAGGCGGGGAGGGGGAGCAGGACGGGAGGCAGCGTTGGCGGCGGCACGACAAGTTCGTCGGGGTTTCCCGCTGCCACCCCCGGCCTGGCCGCCGCCCCCGCCACGTCCTCAGCCAAACGGGCGGGGAGGGGGAGCAGGATGGAAGGCAGCGGCTCCAGCAGAAGCACGGCAGCATCATCAGGTGTCCCCGCCATCCCCAGCCTGGCCACCGCCCTCGCCGGTACTCCACACTGCCCTGCCTCGCCCTCCGCCCATCGATGGAGCCGTGGTGGAGGCAGCGCCCGCCCGAGCCGCCTGGGGGGCAGCAGGAGGAAGGAGAGGAGGAGGGCGAGGAAACAGCCGCTCCAGCCGGGACTCCGCGCTGCCCTGCCTCGCCCTCCGCCCATCGATGGAACCGCGGTGGAGGCAGCGCCCACCCGAGCCACCTGGGGGGCAGTAGGAGGAAGGAGAGGAGGAGGGCGAGGAAGCCGCCGCCCCAGCCGGAACTCCGCGCTGCCCGGCCTCGCCCTCCGCCATCTGATGGAGCCGTGGTGGGGGCTGGGGCTGTGCGGCCCCTGCCAGCCCAGCTGCTCCCCCCGGCACCCTTCTTGCCCCAGCGCCCGCCTGAGCCGCCTTGGGGGCAGCAGGAGGAAAAAGGGGAGGAGGAAGAGAAGGGCAAGGAAGCCGCCGCCAGCGCCAGGCCCCAAGAGGCGGCTCTCCTCTCCTACCTCGCCCTCCGCCCATTCAATGAAGCCGCGGTGGGGGCTGGGGCCGTGCGGCCTGCTAGCCCCTCCGCCAGCTCAGCTGCTCCCCCCAGGCACCCCTCTTCCTCCCGGGGCCCGCCCGAGCCGCTTTGGGGCAGCAGAAGGAAGGAGAGGAGAAGGGCGAGAAAACCGCTGTCGCCGTTTCAGCCGCGACTCCGTGCTGCCTGGCCTCGCCCTCCGCCCATTCAATGAAGCCGCGGTGGGGGCTGGGGCCGCGCAGCCCGCTAGCCCCTCCGCCAGCTCGGCTGCTCCCCCCAGGCACCCCTCTTCCTCCCGGCGCCCGCCCGAGCCGCTTTGGGGGCAGCAGAAGGAAGGAGAGGAGAAGGGCGAGAAAACTGCTGCCGCCGTTTCAGCCGTGACTCCGCGCTGCCCGACCTCGCCCTCCGCCCATTCAATGAAGCCGCGGTGGGGGCTGGGGCCACACGGCCCGCTAGCCCCTCCGCCAGCCCGGCTGCTCCCCCCCAGGCACCCCTCTTGCCCCGGCGCCTGCCCGAGCCGCCTTGGGGGCAACAGGAGGAAGAAGGGGAGGAGGAAGAGGATGGCAAGGAAGCCGCCGCCAGCGCTGGGCCCCAGGAGGCAGCTCTCCTCTCCTACCTTTGCTGAATCTCCTTCTTCCTTCCCGTCAGCCTGGACTCCGGCGCGCCTTCCTGGCCAGCGGGTCCAATGGTCGGGCTGGCTGGGGATCGCAGGGGCTGGTCTCCCTTGGGCCGCGGCTTGCGGGAGGCCTGTCCCGTTCAGCGGAGCCTCCAGCGGGCCGCTCCCATCAGGGATCCTGGGGCTTCCCCGGGCAGCTTCAAGGCCACGAGGCCCTGGCCACGCTTCTCCCAGGGGGTGGGGCACCCGGGCACAGGGCCAATCAGGAGCCCTGCAGGAGGTAAGTCCGCCTGAGAGAGAGAGAGAGAGAGAGAAGGGAAGTGAAAGTGCCTCTCTGTCTCTCTCTCTGCAAATGGCAGAGGAGGCTCCGGAGCCGCAGGTGATGGCTCAAAGAGCCGCATGCGGCTCCGGAGCCGCGGGTTGCCGACCCGTGTCCTAGGATAATATAACAGCTCTTTGGACTGATCAGATTGAGAATGGATAAGGCCCATTTCAAGCTTCCTTCCTTATTTCTATGTGCTATTTTTTTAATTACAGTCACCTTGAGTGCTTTTAATGCTATATATATTGAGGAGACAAAAATTTAACTTTAATATGACACCTAAGTGTGAATTTCTTATAGATTGCATATATGCTTACTTTAAGAGTTATGAATATTTATTTTTCTTTTTGTGAAGAAACTTTGATTTGTTTTTGTTTCTAAAATATTATGGGTATATACATTTCAAATTACTTTTATTACTTAATGTGCTTATAGAGAGATAATGGTGTTTTCACATCAACTCTTTTATTAGTAAATACAGGGCTTTTTTTCTCGGAGAAAAGGTGGCGGAACTCAAACCTGGCCACGCCCTCATCAAACCCTAGGACCGCCCCTTTAGAGAACAGGAATGCAAGTAAAATTTGGGAGGGGCTATTTCCGGTGTGGGAGGGGCTATTTCCGGTGCGGCCGGCCCGGAAAAAGGTGCCGGAACGCGGTTCCGCCGCGTTCCGGCTGAAAAAAAGCCCTGAGTAAATATATAAATTACAAAAAAGGAATTGCATGTGTAAGTTAAAACAGACAGTTTAGCTACAAGCCATTTAAACCAGACATGTCAAACTCGTGATGTCACGTGACATCACGTGACATATCAGAACTTTTTCTCCATTGCCGGCAATGGGGTAGGCGCAGTTTCCTCGTGATGCATCTGGACCATGGGCTGGAAGTTTGACACCTCTGATTTAAACTATCAATTTACTAGGCAAATGGGGAAAATAGGTTTTAACAGAATATCAGTTAAGCTAAATGGGATTTTATGCATGGCTTGTTTTACATATTTATGCATGCATAAATAATAAGTGAGACTTTACAATTGCACAGAAGCATTTGCTACATGGGCAAATTTTGTCTGTTGTATCCAAAGCTCGATAAAACTGAAATCTGTTAAATCAGGAATTTATTGTTACAGTGGGATAAATATGGATTGAACACCAAAAATTGCCATTAGGAAATAGCAGCAAATCACATTCTCCAGATGAATGTGTGTGTCATACATAAATTTCCAAGTATGTTTTTAAACATATAGATAGTCCTTGACTTATGATGAATCATTTAATGACTATTTGAAGTTATGGCAGACATCACCAAAAAACATTTATGACTCAGTTTCAAATTACAGCCACTATAGCTCCTCCATGGTCATCATCATTATGACGGATTGCAGGACATTCAGTGCCCCCCTGCCTATTCTCCCTATCCTGCCCTACCTGCTTTGTCACTCCATGGGGTTCCACATACTCCTCCCCACCTTAGTCAACAATCATTCACGACCTTTCAAAGATCTCCAGGGCCTAAGAAATCAGGATAGGGAAAAAGAACAGGGTGGCGGTCTGTTGCTGAGTCACATGAACAAACCACAAGCGGACGTCTTTTTTCTTAGCGAAAAATAATCCTTTCAAAGGTTTCTTTTCCTTGCTAATGCTAGCCATAGTTTTGCCAGCATTAGTTTTGCTTGTGTTATGCCAGCAAAGCTAAAGCTGGCAGAACTAAGACTAGCTTTAGCAAAGAAAAGAAATTGTCTGCTTTCTTTTCCTCACTAACACTGTGAAGCTAACACTGGTAGAGCATTCATTTAATGATTGCATTGGGGAGAGCAGGGATAGGGGATTATTAAGTGAGGAGGTTCACTTAATGGTCATCCTGATTTCTAACTGTAATGGGCAGGCTCCATTTCAGTTAAAACCCGGGCACTACCTGTATTATACTTCTAAGTAAGTTTTTGCCATCTTATGCCCTCTGTTATATATAAGCAGCATAAAAAAGTTAAACTTTATGTTATATATACAAAAGCACATGATCAGTCATCTGCTGTTCCTGTAGCTACAGGTGATGGGCTTTTGATCTACTTTATCCAGGTAAACCAGTCATGATTGTAACTGAATATATGGAAAATGGATCTTTGGATACATTTTTAAAGGTAAGCTTGATGTGTATGCGTGGCAGGTACTAATCTCCCATTTTATGTTTTTTTTCCCCTGAAGAAATGTGGTTTTCTTAAACAAAAGTCTTCTTCAGGTTAATCTCAAGTCCTGCAGATTTCATGGATGTGTTCATCATGCAGTTTTCTTAGCGGCTGAGTAGTTCAATATTGCCCTCTTCTGAAATGTTTTTAATTTTCCCAGTGATAGCCTTGGTTTTTCACATTCTGTGATACCTCCTATAGATTATATTGACATACATAAGGGAAGAAACTGTGTTGTGATACTGAAAATGTTTATAACTACATGATACCAACATTAAACAATCAGTAGCAATTATTCAATTGGAGTTAATTATGTATTTTTCTATCAATTATTTTCTTGAATTGCAGTCTCACTTTTCAAGTATGTTATTAACAATGCTGGTTCACAATCTGGAACCTAGTTCTGAAGTGCTCCAGGGGAGTTGTTTAACAGTTTTAATTTTCAACACATTTATCATGGAACGTAAGAGTTGTTATGTATTAAGAACTAATGTTAATGTGTTGTGAAACTAACGTATCTCCAACTGTTTTGGAGGGAAACTTCAAGAATTCAAGTTTGGGCAGGAGCGAGCTAAAGTTGCGATTGGCTGACGCCCTAGAGGCGGAAAGTATAAATAGCAGGCATTTGCCGGTTTTTGACAGTTCTGTTATGATGTAATAAACACCGTTGTACTACGCTGGTCTGGTTACTGCCTACGAAACCTACTACACAATAGTGGCAACAAAAGTGGGATATAGCAGGAAGAGAGCTAATGCGAGCTAAGAGACTGAAGTCACTGGGTGTCAGATCAGGCACAGAGCCCTGGTGGGACCACGTTCCCCACCATGTCTGCCAGTAAGACACACTGGAGGTATAGACATCCTGAGGGATCCGTCCCCAGGATCAAAGGCAACACAGCTCCTTCCACAGCAGTAAAGGCAGTAACTAGGACCTCACAGAACTTCCAGAATGGCCAAACTCGGAAGGCTCAACGAGCTTGACATTACCCATCTGAAGCAGTGGAGCTCTTATGTCTCCCGAGTGGACAAGTATCTAGGGGCAAACCAGATCAGAGATGATAATCTGAAGGTAGCAACCCTACTCTGTGTATGCGGGCAGAAAACCTGGTAGCACTGGCAAGCATTGAGTCACTGACATACACAGACATCAAGAGAAGGTTGAAAGAACATTTTGAGCCAAAACTCTCCATAATAGCTTGGCACCATGCTTTCGAGCAACAAGAGCAGAGGTCTAGAGAATTGGCAGCTGAGTTCATGGTCGCACTTCAACAAGCTTCACGCCACTGCAAGTTTCCAGATTTGGATAACCGCCTCAGAGACAGACTCATTTGTGGTTTGCTGAATAGAAAGCCACAACAGCGCCTATTTGCCATTGGAAAAACTGACCTTCCAAGACGCTTTAAATGAAGTCATGGCAGATGAGGCTGCCGGAGGAGCAATGAAGGGTCTCTGGCCACCAAAAACACACATCAGCCTCCACGGCGATCCACCACAAGACCACAGATGGACTGGGAGAGACTGATGAAGATGATGAGATCGATCGGTTGCAGAGAGAGCCATCCAGACAGCAACACTCAACAGAGCAAACAACGTCTCCACAGAACTGCACTAGCTGTGGGGGACAGCATAAAAGGGCAGAGTGCAGATTTCGCACAGCTTTTTGCTGCGCCTGTGGGAAGCAAGGGCACATCCCCAGAGTCAGCAGAGGTAGCCAACGAGAAATGTGAATTGCGGCTCCACAGCCGAAAGGCTAATGGGCCCCAGGGCAGAACAAGGTTGGATACTGCTCAGGGAGACAAAGTATCCAATGAACGGGAGCCCAATGCCCCCTCAAGGAGAAGTTAAAACTCCAAATTAGACTTCAAGAGGTCCCATGCTCCATGGAGCTAGACATTGGGTCAGCTCTATCAATCATCTCATACAAGACTTTTGATTACATTTGCAGACGAGGCAAAGGGCGAGTTCTGCTCAAGCCATCAAGCCTCATACTAACAGACTTCCAGAATTGCCATGTTTCCGTAAGTGGGGAAGCCACCGTTAGAGTTAAGTTCAGGGAGTTTGAGGGTCCCCTCAGCATTGTGGTCGTAGATGGACAGCGCACTAGCCTCATTGGACTGGACTGGTTCAAAGCCCTGGGCATCTGTATGATGAATATCCATAGTACGCAAACTGCTGACCTGGCAGCAGTATGCCAACAATATGCTAATGTTTTCAGCATGGAGTTGGGACAATATAGAGGGGCGCCCATTTCGCTCAGTCTTGATCCAGCATTCACTCCAATCCGAGTGAAACCATGCAGAGTGCCCTTTGCACTAAAGCCAAAGATTGACGTGGAACTTGACAAACTGGTGCAGCAGGGAATGCTCCAACCTGTGGACAGTAGCCCATGGGAGACTCCCATAGTGACCCCAGTGAAGCCAAATGGGGATGTTCACATCTGTGCAGACTACAAGTGCACAATAAACAAGGCACTACAGCAACATGCTTACCCAGTTCCGGTGGTAAGCCACATACTCGCCTCGCTTCAAGGAGGCTGAATTTTTGCTAAATTAGACCTCGCCCAGGCATACCAGCAGCTGCCAGTCGATGATGCCACCGCCCAGGCACAAACCATCGTCACACACAGAGGGGCATTCTGAGTGTACTGCCTGCAATTTGGGTAAGCGTAGCCCCCAGGTTGTTCCAAAGCATCATGGAACGGGCACATACACGGTGTCTGCCTGTACTTTGACGACGTCCTGATCGCAGGTGTCAACGCTGCTAATATTGAATATTCTTGCTTTGACAAAATAGGCAGAACTGTCAGACACATGACATCATGCCAAGATCCACAAATTTTTTAAACCAATTAAGAGGTCCCGGACCTCGGTCACTATTCCTAATCTAAAGGGGATAGACTGACAAAGATTTGGGGAAGATCTCATTATGGAAGGAGAAAGATGGCTTGAGGCCAGCACCTCAGCAGCAGCAGCTTCCCCAGGGAAGGGAACGACAGCAGCAGCAGCTTCCTCTGGGAGTGGAGCGGCAGCCAGCCAGCCAGGGGAGAAAGAACTCTGGCAGATCTCCCAGCTGGGAGCAAAGACTTCAAAAGCAGAATGGAGAGATAACGAAGTTTTGGGTGAGTCACTGGAAAGATTTCAAAACCCAGTGAGGTGAAAGCTGACAGGCTCGTCAAAAGGTTTCATGCGAAATACCCCAACAAACCAAAAACTAGTCATTAACATATGCTTTTGTTTACATTACAGGATCTGTCCTTTTTGTAAGGGGGGGTGGATGTCAACGCTGCTAATATTGAATATTCTTGCTTTGACAAAATAGGCAGAACTGTCTGGTACTTTTAGAGTTAATTCAGATGAGAATGAGAGAGGAGAGAAAAGCCCGTGGAAGGGGACGGAAGTGAATCTTTGCCCTCCAGGTTAATTGGAAGATGTGAATGATGACCCCAAAATAGGGGAGGGGAAATGCCTGGAATGTTATGTGCAAAGGAAGGGAAATTCAGATCTTGGCATTCGCCATGCCGTGCTGACACTCCTTAACATTAATAAAGGCTTTTTAGGTTAAACCATGCCTGAAAGTCATTTCATTAGTCAGACACATGACAGCAGGGGAATCAATGGCAGTCCTGGCGGAACATCTCTGGGCAGTACTTCAACGTTTCCATGAGGCAGGCTTAAAACTAAAAAAAGACAAGTGCCAAATTGACGTGGAATTCACAGAGTTCCTAGGGTGCCGAATAGATGCTGCTGGAATCCACCCATCAGAGGCCAAGTTAAGCGCAAGTCAACAAGCCCCCAAACCCAAATCCAAGGGGGAACTACAAGCATTCCTAGGCTTGCTGAAATTCTACCACTCGTTCTTGCCACACAAGGCTGCCCTGGCAGAACCACTTCACTATCTACTGGACAAAAAAGCGCTCTGGGTCTGGTCGTGCACCCACGATAGGACATTTATGATGGTCAAGTCGCTGTTATCCTCAAGCTCTATGTTGGCTCATTTTAATGAAAAACTGCCAGTAACACTAGCCTGCTATGCTTCACCATATGCCATTGGGGCAGTGCTAAGCCATCAAATGCCAGACAGTCGCGAAGCCCCCATTGCATATTACTCAAGAACTTTATCATCAACTGAGAGGAACTATGCACAAATTGATAAAGAAGCTCTCGCCATTGTTGCAGGTATTAAAAAGTTCCATGACTTCTTATATGGGCGACCTTTCACCATCTTCATAGACCACAAACCGCTGCTTGGCCTTTTTACGGCTGACAAGCAAACTCCACAGATCCTGTCACCAAGGATGCTGCAATGGTCAATTTTCATGGCTGTCTACTTGTACAGGTTAGTCCACAAGCAAGGGAAGGAAATGGGCCACGCCGACATGCTCAGCCAACTGCCTCTGCCACAGACGGATCTGGACCCAGCCCTGGCAATGCGTATTCTGGCAATCCAGGACCTACCAGAAACACCCCTACATGCACCCCGGACAGAATGCTCAGCTGCATTCTCAACTGGGTGTTGAGGGGATGTGAGTTCCAGCAATACGTGTGTCGGAAAGATGAACTGTCAGCCCACAAGGGTTGTGTGCTGTGGGGCAGCAGGATCATCGTTCCACCCAATCATCAAGCCAGGGTGCTGGATTCCCTACATGAGGGGCACCCCAGAATCGTGAGGATGAAGGCTCTAGCCAGGAGCTATTTGTGGTGGCCAGGCCTGGACAAAGACATTGAAACCCAAGTAAGGAGCTGTCAGGTCTGCCAAGAGACCCGATCAGAAATGCCCCAAGCACCCGTGCACTCCTGGAAAACCACGCACGCTCCATGGTCTCACGTGCATATTGACTTTGTGGCCCCATTCCAGGGACAGGTATTCTTCATTGTTGTGGACAGCTATTCCAAGTGGTTGGAAGTAGTACCTGTCCCATCGATGACCACTGCCAGGGTCATCTAGGAGCTGCACCGGCTCTTCGCCACACACGGTCTGCTGGACATCATTGTGTCCAATAACGGGGCACAATTCACGGCAGCCGAATTCCAATAATTCCTAAACGCCAACATGATACGGCACGCAACGTCTGCTCCCTTCCATCCTCCTTCCAACGGTCAGGCCGAGCGAATGGTGAGGTCCACCAAGGAATCACTCAAGCAGATGACAATGGGAGATTGGAATCACCACCTGGCAAATTTTCTCCTGTGCCAGCACACGACTCCTAGCATTGCAACAAGTCACTGCCGGCAGAACTAAGGTGGGGCCGTCAGCTCACAACGAAGCTCAACTGACTCCACCCAGACAGGACAGCAGCAGAAACAGTTCAACCAAAGCCTCCCAGGAACCTACAGCTGGGTGAACTAGTATGGACCAGAAACTATGGGCAGGGGGCACCCTGGGTTGCCGCTAGAGTGACTAAAGTAACGGAACCATTGTCTTACGAGGTGGCTTTGGAAAATGGTCACATAGTCAGATGCCACATTGACCAGTTACAGCGTCGGCAGGCTGGGCCAATCCCAGGAGAGGAGTTTGAGAGGAATTTGGACACACTTGGTGACTATGTTTTTCCAAATTTACGCATACCTGCCAAGGCATCCTCCGCAGACACAGAGGCACCATAGGTTGTGGAACCACCTTTCCCATCAGATGACCTAAACGGCCATCACATCATGGGTCAACCAGGGACGGATGAGCAAACAGTCAAACAGGACTCCCAAATGACATTACGGCGGTCTGCCAGAATCCGCAGGCCCCCGGTCTACCTTAAGGACTATGTGCCGTAATCAAGCAAAGAATAACAATTATCCTAGGGGGGAGGGGTGTTATGTATTAAGAACTAATGTTAATATGTTGTGAAACTAACGTACCTCCAAGTGTTTTGGAGAGAAACTTCAAGAATTCAAGTTTGGGTGGGAGCGAGCTAATGTTGCGATTGGCTGACACCCTAGAGGCGGAAAATATAAATAGCAGGCATTTGCCGGTTTTTGACAGTTCTGTTATGACTTAATAAACACCATTGTACTATGCCGGTCTGGTTACTGCCTACGAAACCTACTACACAATAAGAGTACAGGATTTTTGTCATTCACATATTTATTTCAAAAGTCCTTGGCTGTTTATGGTAAATTAAACCTTGCTTTTATATCTTCTGCTTGAACATGGCGCTGAAAAAAATAATTGTAATTTTTTTTGTTAAACATTTTAATTGTTTCTTGGTGTTAGAATATTGAACTGAGCTCATGAGTTAGAAATTAATAGAGTTTTTCCAGCATAGTATTATGTATTCTAAATGACTGGTGCCAGTTAATACTTGAACTACTGCTTTCTACACAAACTAGTTTTGGGATAGCTTCTTCTTCCCACACTCTAATAATATATGAGAACAATATTAATTCTGAAGAGACAATTCCTCTTTACCAAAGGCTGCTTGTAATAAATATTTTACTATGGTTCACACTACTTCCTATTCTATTCTTTTTAAAATATCAAGTATAGTTTTGGAGGTTTGTATACAACTTTCCACTGCTTGCTTTTTAAAAAATATTTTTCAAACAAAGAATTTTTTGATGATACGATGCCTCACAGATGTTTGTCTCAACAAATTCTGTCACACTACTACTTTCATTGCTATTCCTGATTCTGCTTCATCAACATCTTTCAAGTTTCTGTTTTTTCCCATAATTACAATGATTCTCATTCTCTCCCTCCCTCCCTCCCTCCCTCCCTTTCTCTCTCTCTCTCTCTCTCTCTCTCTCTCTCTCTCTCTCTGTGTCATAATGAATAATAATGTTTACTGTATTACTATTATTATACTTATTATACTTATACTTATACTTATACTTATACTTATACTTATACTTATTATTATTTATCATCGCACAATCAGCCAGATGTTCAGACTGGATTTGGCATTTTTGTCTACCTATCGAGTCCTTACCAAGGACCTGGGATAGGCAGATGTGGATGTTTGATGGTATTACAGATATCGTCGCAGGATGGAAGCAGTTTCTAGTAAGGCCGCCTTTTGCAATTGACTAATGGCGAATTTGTCAATGCCAATGGTGTTCAAGTGGTGCTCCAGTTGTTTTGGGATTGCACCCAAGGCACCTATTACTATTGGTACTACCCTTGCTTGCTTTTGCCACAGTCTTTCTATTTCTATTTGTAGATCTTTGTATTTTGTTATCTTCTCCAGTTCTTTCTCGTCTATTCTGCTGTCTCCAGGCACTGCCAAGTCCACTATCCAGACTTTTTTTGTCTTTCTTATCAACAATTGTTAAGTCTATTATTATTATTACTATTATTACTATTATTATTATTATTATTATTATTATTATTATTATTATTTTACTATTTCCATTTCCCACATATGGAGATATTTGTGCTATGTTATTTTAACTACCAATATATCAAAAATTTGTTATTAAAATCCTCTATATTTTTATATTCAGTCTATATTCCAGTGAAATGGAATGAAATCTAATAAGCAAAAAAATCTGTCCCAAAAGTAAATGATTCAGATTTAGACCTGCCCCACAACAACAAGAACTTCACTTGATCAAAAAGAGTTATGCTGCTAAAAGTCATGAGCAACTAAGAATACATCTACATGATGAGTCTATGCCAGTGAAAAGCAACTCTAGGCTTCTTTTAAAGATAAACAGTAATAAGTTGAAACTATAGTGAAGTTAGATTTATATGATTGTGGATCTTTTTCCCCATTAGAGGGAATTCTTAACTCATCTTTCTTGCCCATTCCCAACTTTTATGCCTTATAAAAAAAATAGCAACCTTACTACTTACTACCCTAACCCTAACCCCAGACAAAGTACAGGGATCAGTTTCCCCATTTTGTTTAGCAGAGACATGCTAATGTACCAAACTCCAGGCTACTGGATTTATTTGTTTTCTTTCCCATTTCAGTGGAGTGAGAAGGAGAGAGAAAATAGATATTATTGCAGAATTTGCAAAGAATTGGGATTTTTGCTGTTTTTTCTGTGTTCCAGATGTAATAATTGTGATGGATTGCAAGTCCTGGAAAAAAAACTATATAAGTTTATAAAATATAATAATTTCAGAATATCTTGTTGTTCCTCCTTTTTCTGGGAAGTAGGTAGCTGTTCCCCTACTGCATCAATTGAAAATAGACATAGAAATTGCCATCATAAAAAACTAAATAAATGAGTGTGGAAGTAAATGTATCCATCTGCCAAGACTTTTTGAAGTTTTAACTCCTATTTCACTTTCAATCAATATGGTTATTAAATTCTATCAGAATCTGGCTTTTTTGCTGGTAAATAGTTGTAAAAGTCTTGATAATAATTATAGATTGTCTTAAGTTCTCCTGAGGGTTTGGAACATATTATGAAAATATATTGTGATATTTCCAGCATTTCCTTTTCCTTTGTCAGAATCAAGATATAGTCATTTGCTTCTATAATTTTGTAATGCTGTACTTTTTACAGAAGAATGATGGGCACTTTACTGTAATTCAATTGGTTGGTATGCTCCGAGGAATAGCTTCTGGGATGAAGTATTTATCTGACATGGGATACGTACATAGAGACTTGGCTGCCAGAAATATCCTAATCAATAGTAATTTAATGTGTAAAGTGTCAGACTTTGGACTTTCTCGAATTCTTGAAGATGATCCTGAAGCTGCTTACACAACAAGAGTAAGTTTCTTGTGAACATTTATTTATTTTACTGCAGAACCAAAGTAGGGGGACTAACTTGGGGCATAGTTCAACCAACTTCCATATGTTGTGTTGGTTGCTCTAAAGTTTGGAGAATGGTCCTGAACCAGAGCTACCAATAGCCAATCTCTTAGTTTTGTCAATGAGAGTTATGCTCTAGGATAAATACAGAAACAAAATATAAATCAGCAAGGACATATTAGGTTTTGTAAAAACCTCACATCAAGAATAGTTCCATTGTGTAAGTAATCTGCATTATTGAGCATCCATATAAACTATTGCTTCTTGCCTCTCTTTCTATCCTGCCTTTTGGCAATCACAACATGTATTTCAAAATGTGACCTGTAACTTGTATATATATAACTTCTTGAATTCCATATCTCTTACAAATTTGACTACATATTTTCATCATATGTGTATCATAGTATCATATGCTCCTTTTATATATTTTTACTACTGTTATCCATGTACTCTATTCCATGAGCTAAATAAATTGTTTCTTTTCATGCACAAATAAATTAACTGCTCTCTATGAAGGAGATTGATTAATGCTAATTTATATTTCAGGATAAAACAAAATTCACTTAGAACAGGAACAATAGGGTGATGTCACAAATAGTGTATCTGATACCATGTCATCAATGAATGTCAGTAAATAAATACCCAGTCATGATTTACCTTATGCTCTCACTGAGAGTAGCCATTTGTTTAACATTTTCCTATTTTTATCATATGTCTTATTAAACAATTGTTGAATTACATGCCAATATTTCTTTCTAAGACTGAACATACAAAGAAATAGTTATGGGCTTGGCCTTTGACATATCCTTTTTTCCTTATAATTTGAATTCAAAATTTGTGTATCATGACTGATTTTGTTTGCAGGCCCAAAGTAGAGCTTTGACCTCAAAACTGTGATATAAGATGTTTTGTGTGTATTTTTTAAATATATAGTTAACAATTCAGAAACAGATGACTTAAAACTGTGTTGACTGCATGCTTGTTTGTATTTTCCTTCACCAGCTATAATGACCTAACTGAGATGTCAATTTCACTGTATCTTGTTATACAAACTAAATTCAAATAGGCCTTTAATACCAGCAATTAATATATCTGAAGGTATGTAAAGGATGCAATAATGTAGAAGGAGACCTTCCAAACATTAGAAATTGCTTGCCTACTCATTTTCTCTAGAAAATCCTTGACATGTCAATAAATTTTATATAGCCTTCCGCAAATTTACCTCTGCCAGTGATGTCTGGAGCTATGGGATTGTGATGTGGAAAGTAGTGTCCTATGGAGAGAGACCATACTGGGAGATGACCAATCAAGATGTAAATATTTCCTTTTCCTTCTCTATGTGAGAACATGTTAGTCATCAAATCAGGATGTTGCATATATATTAATTATTTTCTGTTTTTAATTTTAAAGGCCTAAATGTACAGTTACAGGTATTGTCCAAAGAGTCCATTCTGAAAATAGTATGGAATCTTCAAATGAGTGAAATGGAGAAGTGTTGGAATATAGCATAAGTCACTCCATCTTGTAACCTTCAGTATGCTTAATTCTACACTTCTTCATGCCTACGTGTTAGGCTGCAATCTGCAGCTGCAAACACGTAAGGACAGACAACTAAGAAGCAAGTCAACAAAGCTGTCTACACAAGCTATAATATTATCACTTCCTGATAAGACCTTCCAGTGTGAACCA